TAATGAAATAATTAATTTGGAACAAGATAGACGACACGCATATTGCCCGTACATGTATAAACAAAATAATCATACGGGATTATGCATCCGTCAGTGATCGTCAACAAGAGTTTCTTGTTGGTGGCGAAGTTGAAGCATTCCTGAATCGGCGCATTCAGAGGCTTGAGGTCTTCTTTGATGTTGTCGATCCATCTCTTGCGCCTATACCCATCAATAATGGAAGCGCACTGTGCGAATCTGTACCAGATTCGTGACTTCTTATTGTGGTCTGAGGATCTTGGTGCTTCTCAAAGCATTCATTGAGTGTTTTCTAAGACACCAATGAATGTGAATGCCAATGGATTCCAGCACGCAGGCAAAAGGTACAGGCGCAGGGCCTCTAATGTGCATTTTTTGACTCCCGGCGCTCACCCAGGAAGAATTCTGCAATACTGGTACTGCGTAGTGGGGAAACCCTCAAAGACTTGAGTGTCGCGATGAGATCTGATGGCAGATTTTAGGTTATTGCTTCAACCCCGTGGGACGACGATTCCTAACATCTATATTTGTGGTAAAGCCATGCCATGAGCGAAACCATCTTGCCAACCAGCCTTACATTAAACTTGAACGTCCAATCTGGCAGTGTAAGATTCACCAGAATAATAATGCTAGAGGAGCCGGTCAGTACACGTATTATGCTGACAAGGTTGGTCAGAAAGGGTACAATAGTCAATACTTGTAGGTGTGCTGTGCGTGGGCGCTTTCCATGCTGCGTTGCGCTTGACTTCGTGCCGGGCTATGTGGCGCAGTTCTCACTCTCCAGAGGGCGTTAGTGGGACGTGAGTACATGGACCAGTAGCAAGGACCGCGTCGACGAACTTGTCATTGCTCATGCACATGGCCACACGTTCTTGTTTACATCAGCACCACGTACATATATGGCATGACAAATGGCGAGTGGATGACAGTCGATGTCTTGGTGATATAATTATCAAAACAGGTAATATGAAGATATTTCTCCTACACCCTAACAACACGTCTGCTACAGGCCACCAGAGAGCATACAGTACTGAAAGACGGAGACAGAGAAAGAGCCGGCTCTTTATCGTTATAGAAAAGAGGGGACTAACTTGTCATTGCTCGTGCACCTAGCCACACGTTTTTGTTTACATAAGCACCCCATATTGCATGACAGATGGTGAGTGGATGACAGTCGATGGCTCGGTGATATCATTATCAAAACAGGTAAAATGAAGATATTTCTCCTACACCCTAACAACATGTCTGCTACAGGCCACCAGAGAGCATACAGTACTGAAAGACGGAGACAGAAAAAGAGCCGGCACTTCATCATTATAGAAAAGAGTGGACTAACTTGTCATTGCTCGTGCACCTAGCCACACGTTTTTGTTTACATAAGCACCCCATGTTGCATGACAGATGGCGAGTGGATGACAATCGATGTCCTTGTGGCTAGTTCAAAGTGACACGGGTCACGAGGATAGACAAAGGCCGATGACAGGGTGCTGGTGCAATCTGTCACGCAGAGTTTAGCATGATGCCTAGAGGCTGCACACAGTGGTACGGGCTATCTAAGGGAAATGAAAATATCGCAACTCATTCCTCGCAGTCTTCAGGTCATTTTTGGCAATGCGCGGCGAAATCATAGAAGCATCAGCAGCTACATCAACATTGCCGATAAAGCGAAACACGTGTAAACACATAATGACGAAACCGACCAGGGTGCTATAAAGGTGAAGGGGTTTCCACTGAGAAGATCAGATCAGTCTCTACCAGAGTAATCGACAGATCAAAAACAGTGAGTCTCTAAAACAAAATCTGGAAAATGATCAAGGGTTTTCTAGTCCTTGCCCTTGTGGCAAGTGCAGCCACGGCAATGGAAATGCCTGCTGTTCTTCAGAGCGAAGAGCACCCGCTGCAAGGCTTAAGCTGCAATGCCGACTCGACCCTTGGTGAATGTCTGGGTCAGCTGAAAATGCGGCTGACTGGTCTTCGACAATTTCTCATCGAACATCACCGCCAGAGCAACCCCAACGGTCCAAATATCCTCAAAGGTCTGCCACATCCACTGAAATGCATATTGAAGGGCAGTGGATCCACAAGTGCAGGCACAGAAGAGAATATGCCCGCTGTTTTCCAGAGTGAAGAGCACCCGCTGCAAGGCTTTAGCTGCGGTGCTGACTCAACACTTGGTGACTGCCTGGGTGCGCTGAAAATGCGGCTGACTTGTCTTCGACAGTTTCTCATCGATCATCACAGCCAGAGCGACTCCGACGTTTCAAATATCCTCAGAGGTTTGCCGCGTCCACTCAAATGCATTCTCAAGCACATAGCTTCCGGAGAGCAGCATGCCCATGAGCATGAGAGAGCGGAGAAAGGAAATGGTGATCAAAGCGAGAACGAAGAGGAGGCCAGTGGTGATACTGGTGAATCACAAGTCGAGGGATCCAACAATGGACCAAAGCGCATGGGCAAACGGTGCGGACGACGTGGCGAACGCCCAACGGGTGAAACAGAGGGTGAACATCCCACACAAGAAACAGGAGAAGGTCGCAGTCGTGGAGGCCCGCACCGTGGAGGGCCCCGCCGTCAACGCCCTACTGATGAGTCGGGAGAGATTCGACGCGGTGGTCCTCGTCGGCAACGACCCACTCAAGAGCCTGGTGTGGAGAGTACCGCTGAAGAAGGTGAAAACAACGCGAATGAGGGCCGTGGTGGTGGAAGCAACCGCCCCGGCCGCCGTGGACGACCCACAGGCCAGCCTGGCAGAGAGGGCGGACGTCGCGGGGGCCGCCGCAGCTAAGGTGGGTTCCAGTTTACATGAAGAATGCGCCACGGACCACCAATCGGTTTTCTAGGACGCAAGTCGTGTTCGGCAGAAAGCCCTTCTGGAGTTGGAATTGCAGGGATTCAGATACAAACTGACCTACACGATGGAATGCTTAGCGGGCTCTTTAGGGGAGAGAAACACGTTAACAATTGTCATAGCTCTTATACATGTATTGCTCTGTCATGCTGCACACAATTTGAAACTCTGTTGAGCAGCATATGATCCAATCAGTTTGATGGTCTGACTCTTCCCCTGAATAAAATATACTTTCCCGCATATGATATAGCAAACGTTTTCATTAATACGTTATAACCCCCCTCTCTCTCTCTATCTCTCTCTATCTATCTCTCTTTCTCTCCCCCCCCTCTCTCTCTCTCTCTCTCTCTTATTTTTTGGTGGACAAACAAATCTGGCGTTGAATGTTTTCTTGCTTAGTCGTCTGCCGCGCCTTTGTTCTCGTGCTCTCCGTTATGTACTAGTGTTGTGCAAACCCTCCTTGTAGTCTGTCTCATTTTGCCCTGAGATGTTTTCATGCATAAGTTAGTGATTATGACGCTCAACATTCGCTCCCTTGTCACTAGACAGGTCTGTCTGTTTGGTTTTAGCGGTGGTTGAGCCTTACGTGTCTAACGTCGCCGAAGACGACGGCTGCAATGGCCAACCGGACAACAAAGAAGTTGAGGCCAAAGAGAGTGATTTATTTCTTGCGAATGCTTCTGTGCGGGTGTGACGTAATCGTGAGAGGTGTCAGACTGCTACAAGCCCATGTACAATGTTAGGGTCCCGCGGATTCTGCCAGGAGAAAAATTGGCAGAATTCGGTACTTTTTCTGGAAAGTTTCATGCGTGTTTGGTATGTGGATAAAAAAAATGGAGCAGAACTCGAGGAATTGCCCACCATAAGGTTTGTGTGGTTCTGCCAATTTCACTGCTTTTCGAGGAGAATCTGCCACCTTTTCGAGCAGAATCCGCCGGTCCCTAGTACATGTCCACGGTTTTATATAACCCAACACTAGTTCAAAACTAGTATTAGATAAACCGCGGAAGGTTGTAGTAAGGTCACTGTTTCCAAACACAGTGTCATGCTGTCAATCTAACAATATGCGTGTCCACGGTTGTACTATCATTCTTCGGTGCTCCGGTCGCCGAAGTTACGGGCACTTTGGTATACAAGGCATACTTTGCGCGAGTTTTAGCGGATGTCTTGCTACTCTCTTATCAGTTTTCGATGAAAATTTTATAGAATGGCGATCGCCACAGTTACAGCCCATTCATTGGAAACTGGCACCCTAACTTTTTGGCGTCTCCCGCACGTAGTTGTAGGTATCGTGAAAACAACAGTGCATCCTGCATTGTGTGGCCCGTGCAATTACACCTTGCCACATTTGAGGACAGACAAGTCCAAGAACAGGGACATCGAAACTCAGCCAGATTTTACAAAATTGGGACAGGTATGCCATGGAAAATGTATGGAGAAGCTGCTCCCAAACCCAGTAATTTGAGATTTAAAGTGGGTTTTTGATCGTCAATTCGGCCCAAATCGGACTTTCAAAAGACAGCGGGACTGTTTCCGATGAATGGACTGTAAAGCATTATGTGTGCATGTATTTCATGGTGCTCAGTTTCACCTGGTTTACTTGTACACACCCTGTGTACGTGACTCTTGCTTAGACCAGGTTCCCAGCTCGGCGCCTGGTTAAAACCAATACGCACCACCCAGCTACAGTAAACAATGACTCCGAAATAGCTGTTGAAGATCCCAATGGACAAGACACGCACACCACAAACATTTTCAGAACTCATGGCCATATGTTTTGTCCGTGTTTTGTTGTTTCTTCTGTATGTTTACAAAGAACACATGAATGCCAAACATGAGATATAGCTAGAGGAAGCACGCATAACCTATACCTTGGCAGAGGTGAAGAGGTTTATAGACCTGCGCCGGCCTAGGGTCAATACTTCATATCCACCTAGACGCACTTTATTATGTACATGTACATGTACATGTGTGTGTATAAAATTGCCTCTAATCCTTCTCCCCTCCCCCCCCCCCCCCCCTACCCCCAACACACAACACACTGATGAAGGCATACACGGATCACACTGCTCCATATTCTGAAAATGTATCTATTTTGGTGTGTGTTTTGCTTGACGCACATTTTACTCGCTAGATCTACATGTACCTATCCGTACATAGTTCCGCCAAGATTGATGACTGTCGTGGAGTCACCAGAATAGGCATCGTCACATGCTATGGCTTTGGCGAGTAAGTATCCGTCCGGGAATTGGACACTCTCAGTGTCAGCACTAAGGTATAGTACATGTACAACAATATACTAGTGCAATATACTTGTGCAGTCGTGTAGAAAAGACAAGGAAACTCATAACCACAAGTCGCAATAATAGCACTGCTAAGGCCGCAACCACACTACGTAAAAATCACAGTACAAATTTTCATGCATATCTCAGTACAAGTCGGTACGCAACCACACTACACTTTTCGGTCTGCATAGATGACGTTTTCGCGCGACCAGCACGTGACGTTGTCGTACCAAAGCGTGTGCCATGCGCTGGAAAAGACCGGGAAATTCAAAAACAATGCTGATGCTGATGCTATGTACGACGACCAGCTACAAAACAATTTTATTGAATTTGGTAAACCGGCCTCTTGTACGGGCAGAATTTAGTAACACAGTGATTCAATAAAAACAAGTACCAGTAGTTACATACATGGACCATACGAGAAAAGCAATGATGACGAGGCATAAACAAGTGTTTAGTGCTATATGGCAGCTTCCGAGACAGCGAGTCGAGCGGATGACTCAGCCACCTCCGGGTGCGAATACAGCCGTCGTGCACCACGCAGGCAAGCCACGCCTGGACGGAGAAGGGCGAAGCTGAACCTGCAGCGGATCCATGCCATCACTGCAGAGTATGGCTCACCAGATTTGTCGGAGACCATTGCAGCTATTCTCTTGAGGAGAGCGGCAGCAGCTCGACCAGTACCACCAGTTGCAGCGAAAACAACAGGGATGAAGGTTCCACGCTCGACCTCCTTGACGCGCTGTTCGTATCGCCTCCGTTTTTTACCGTTCATGACGCTGGTAGCAAGCGGTGATGGAAGAAGATCGATTTGAGGGAGCAAAGGGGTTGAAAACCCGAATATCGAGAAAGACTCTCTCAAACCGACCTCCCCAAACACCACTCGCCGCAACATCAAGTCGAGCCTGGTCTTCTGTGGAGGCAGTCTTGTAGCGGAGCTGCTCACCAGAGAGCGGTTGTAAGTGTGGCTCGATAGCGACACTATTGGCGACACGTTTCAATAGCGAGGCAGTGATGTCCCGCACCTCATTGTGTCGAAGTGACGGGAAACCTCCGGTGCTGCATGTCAGGGCATGGGCTACTGTGAAGCTGGCTCCACAGACACAGGTTGACGGTAAGCGAGAAGGCCGCCAGCCATAGCGCAGTGCCAAACCATCGCGGAACTCGCTTTTGGATAGCACAAATCCATGACGGGATAGCGGACGACAAGTAAGCCAGCTGGAGTCGCCAGGCTCACTTGCCAACTGAATTGTGTGCTGCAAAGTGGGCGATGCGTCGGCAGCGAAGCCACGGATGTCGGTCTTCGCTTTCTGGCGGTGATCTGCACGCTGTGACGCTTTGGCTGAGGCAACGCTGGCAAGAGCTTCCGTCACACTGAAGTCTTGGTCGAGGATGTTGGTGGTGAGCGCCGCTGTGATCGCGCGGGATGAGGCGTATTGGGTTGTTAGAGATGTTGGATTGACGATGCCCAGGCCACCATCCCGGCAAGGGAAGGCAAACAGCCGTCGCAGCTCCAGACTGACTTCTTCTCCAGTCAGGGCTGGCAGCAGCTTGGTAACAATGGCGTGTTCCAACTGATCAAGACCACTGGACGCATCCGGCAGAACACGACACAAGAATGTCCAGCGGCATGAGAGAGCACGAACAAAAGTAGTGTACGCTGCCTGGGGCTGGGTACGAGCGAAGGATGAGAGTGTCTCAATCTGCTTGCACCATTCATTGGCCTTCTCCTGGATGAACCCGTGGATGTAGTCGGGCGTGCCAATAGCGGAACCCAGGTAGCGGTTGCCGTCATATGTTACTTGGATGCCAGTATCAGCGAAGAGGCGCACAGCGTCGTCGTAGGCATGTGGCTTGACCACAAGCACAGACTTCCGGGCATTGAGGTGATATCCGTAGGACGGACCTTCAGCCTGCAGCTTGTCCCACCACGATCGAATTGCTACCAGACGACTGCTGGCAGGTGTCCGGGGTTGCTACCGCTCTCACAAGTGGGAGGATGCCGAGGGCATAGAAAGGCATCGCCAGGGGGTCCCCCTGGGTTGTGCCTTCTTGGGACAGAATACACTCCCCTGCCACATACAAGTTGCTCGGCCGCCGGTACGAATTGATCACAACTGCTGCAAGAGAGGGGCATTGGTGGCGAATGTTTCGGATGGCCACATTGCGGTTCAGGTTATTGAACGCATTGGCCGCGTCCGCCATAATGACGCCCTCCGTTTCCTCTTGGGCGTAGACTTGGTGCATGGCATGGATGGCTGCCTCTATGCCGAAATCCTGGCCATCACAGAGTTGCAAACTTCCCGCTGCTTTCTGGATGTCGTCGCTCATGACGATCAGGATGCTTCGGCCGATAATGCGGCGCACTACCTCCCCGATCCCGATCGGTCTCACCCCTGGGTTCTTGTCCAGAGGGACCAAACGGGAGGCGAGATAGGCCTCCAAGGCCAGCGGATCGACGAACTGGGTAGCCAAACGGCGAGCACATAGGACTAGTGCATCACAGAGAGAGTCCGAAGCATCTGCAAAGCTGGTTGCCATCCATCTCCATCTACAAAAACAAAGTTGTACACAGGAGATGGAGCGCGAAAACGACGAAAACGACAAACGTGGTTTTCTACATGGGTGCGCCAGTTGCTGAAAACCTACAAAGCGCATTTTGCATTTCGCACGCGTCGGCATGACGATTTCTACTGTAATGCCGTTTGTACGTGATTTTGTACCTAGTAAGGTTGCAGCCTAAGATCTCAAAAGTGACTTGCATGATAAAAACAATTTTCCTGCGAGTTAAAAGTACATCCATGCAATTAATTGAATGGGACTCAGAAGACCGTTGATCCCGCAAAAAAAGTAATCTGAACTTGATCGAAAATATGAACGCCATAAGTTCATAACTCATAAACAAGCATAATATCCACGTGCATGCATTTCTGAAAATACATGTAAGTGTAGATGAAACCCACCCATCACACTTACGCTTTTAGCCTATTACCCTATAAAAACAGGCTGCTGATGATGAAAGGACCACTTGTCCAAGGCAACAGAAGATCATGTCAATAATAAAATGATTGAGCTTTGAAGTGGATGTCAATACAGACTGCATGGAACTAAGAAATCCAACTTTTCAACAGGAGCACGAGCAAAATGAATAATTATACGTAGCATGTTATCGTATGATTGCGAGGGCCTTATGGCATATTATTGCCCCGAGAGGTTAGCCCGAGGGCCATAGGCCTGAGGGATAACTTCGAGGGGCAATAATATGCCATAAGGCCCGCAGCAACCATGCGATAACACATAATTATATCACATGGCACACGGAGCAGACCATTGGGCTGCGGTTGCAACTAGCCAAAAATAATGCCAACATATTATGACAACGATGTATAATCATGTGCTATCATTATCAAAAACAGGTAAAATGAAGATTTGTCTCCTACACCCTAACAAAACGTCGGCTACAGGCCACCAGAGTGCAAAGAGCACTGAAAGACGGAGACAGAAAAGGAGCCGGCACGGGATCGTCATAGCAATAAACATGGCAACCACAATAAAACACAGCAGAATCACAATTTCATTTGAAATTTAAGCATGCTACCATCAAGAGTTTCACAGACCGCCGGTACTGACAGTTGTACAACTAACTGGCTAACAGGTCTAGCACATATTGGATGCGCACTCTAACAGGCTTCCAAGTTGGAAGGTTCTAATAATAATAATATTCGCGGGATCCGCGTCGGCATCGCTTGAATGTTCAGAACGACACAAACTAGCCTTCGCATCCGCAGGCCACCACTATGCCTTTACACCTTAGTGGCGAATGCAGACCTCACAAGTGAGTCGGGGGAGAGGAGGTTAGTCTCTCAACCAATCGGGCGTGTAACGGCCCATAACCCTGTAAACTGCATCCTTGTTATTCTCACTCCGAGCTGTGAGTACCCAGTTGACCGTGGGTGTCGGCGCAGTTCAACACGCGTAAAAAGTCTTTTTACACGCTCCCTGCTACCAGCGCGGGTCTTGAACTCGGGACCTCATGATTCGTCGGCAGGCCTGCAAACCAATCGGCCATATGCGTTGGAAGGTTCTAAGTTACAGAAATAACATAAGGAGGGGAAGGTGAGCCCAATCAAGATAAGCACGAGCTGAAAGTCTGAGCTGTCAGGGTCAGTATCGTGCAATGTTATCGTATGAGCTGATTGTTTAGTAACTTGTGGTGTTAGTGGACATTATAGCGTAACTTGTTGTTCATTGGTCCTATTTCTTTCTACCAATATTATGTAGTACAGGGGGCGAGGTGACAACAATTTAAAGATGGCACTAAACAATAATAATTCAGCTGATTTTGTTTATTGCCATCTCGATCATTATGTTGTGCCAGTTTATATTCCATTTTACTATGTTTTACTTGGCTCACCATCTCAGGTCTTGTCAGTCTTTATAATAATCATGTAGTGTACATGTACATGGCGTTAGCTACAGGCTAATGTGGACTGGCTGCTATTGGTAAACCCAGAGCGCCATTCAGTGTCTCCAACTGTGTTGTTTTGTGTGTGTTGTTTTGTTTTCATGCAGACAAAGTTTGTGGAATCCTAACGCTAGCACTGGCGCTATTGATTTTAGTTTGCGGGGCAGTCCTACTCGGGCTTGGACTACCCAACGACAAACTCATCCAGGCTGGTATAGGTGGATTCCTACTTCTTGTAAGTCTCTTCGTGCTGGCAGGCGGAATCACACTTATCCGATCAAGCAGACAAGGGCGTGGTGCACGGAGCGAAGCGAGTACGGCATCGGGAATGCGTGGACAACTTGAAGACACTAATAGAATTCAACAGGAGGGTGAAGTGGTCAGACCAATTATTGCTAGACCAGTCAGTACAGTCGTAGCGAATCCAGTGGCATCGCACACTACCTCTACAACAAGCATTGCGCGGCCGGTAGCACAAGCTGCTGGCGGGACCATGCAGCCACCAGTTGGCAGGCCAGTCGCCTCCCCTCTACAGGAACATCCGGACATGCACGACTCAAGCCACGACGAAGATATCTGCATCGTGTTTCCTGTGATTGTGGTAGAGAGAGGCGAGAGTCGAGAAGATTGCCCACCCTCGTACGATACGGCCATGAGACGGACTGGAACTACACCCGTCTAACAGTCATTAATTTTAAATATTGTAGCGAGAAAGGAAATTTTTCCAGTTTGTTGTATGCATGTATAACATAAATTATAGTCTGATGCATTCTTCAATATTGTACGGCAGATGTTATAGCTTTTCAAAGTAGGTTTTCAAAGATAACCTTTAGTTTGAGTGAGACCAGCATACTCCTGTTTCTTGCGGTACAAGCTGATTTTTACAGGATACTGAAGTAGTTTCATTCTTTCATGTGTGCACGGTTTTCTTCGCGAAACGTTCAAAACAATTCTATTAAAACAAAACTAACCGCTTTTCTTTATCTTTTGTATTGTATTGTATTGTATTGTATTTTATTATCTTACTTGGGCATTCCCAACAGACCCTAAGGTCTTCTTACAGGGTGCCCAAGATGAATGAAATTGTTAAGTTCCTGGCGAAATGAATTGGGGATATGATTTGTGCGAAGGGATTCGGGAAGCGCATTAAAGCGGTCAGCACCAAGGAATGGAATAGATCTGTATCCAGCTTGAGCTTGCACAATGGGTAAGGAAAGGGAATAATCGACTTGGCCGCGGGTTACTCTGTCTGTGTGAGCGCAGTCATGGCGAAGGGAGAACATGTCAGAGAGGAGTGAACTGCAGATATTGTGGATGCAACGGAACACGAAGAATATGGACTTAGTATGATATATTTTGTCTAAGCTAATTATGTGGTATCGCTCCAGCAAGTATGATGTCCGCGTAAATGTGTCATGCTCAAATATGCATCTAAGTGCTCTCTTACTTATGTGCAGCAGCTGATCTCTCACATTGTCAGCGAGGCAGTGGACGTAGGCAGTGCTGGCGTACTCGAGCTTGCTCTGGACTACTGACAAGTAGAACTGCCTTCTGGCCTGGACAGCAAGGTTCCTCCTTCCACGTCGAAAAGCACCTAGTTTCTTTCCGATGTCTTCCCTGAGGGAGTTAACGTGGGCACTGAAACTTAAAGTTGAATCGAGAATCAGTCCTAGATACTTAACTTCGTCAGACGGGGCAATAACAATCGAACCACAGACAATGCTCAGGTTAGGTGGGGGATGTGAGCGTCTGCTGTGGATCAGTAGTACTTGGCTCTTGCTGGAGTTCAGGAGCAGGCCGCGATCTGTGAGGTGCCGCTTAACCACTGAAAAATCCTCTTCTAAGTATTATTATCATTATTTAATATTATGAACAGCTTCGCGTACTTGAGGACCAGCCTCTTTCCGCCTCTGTGTTCCTGAGCAATAGAAGGAGAGAGACAAAACTATACTATTATGATGATGACAAGGGAAGACATGGACTGCAAGGTACGGTTTACAAATCGACAATAAGCAAATAGCACTGAGAAGGATGGGCAACTTCTGTTTCGTCAGTGTTCACTGTGCGTTTTTTACGAAGGCCTTCCACACTTGCCTGTCGGATGCCTTCTGCCGGAGGCTCTGCAGATGCGGGCTCCTCTTGAGTGGCGTTTGTCTGTGGACGCAGTCTTGCTGGATCTGGGTGACTAAAGTAGTCAGAGGTCTTCCTGGCTTGGCTGTGTTCGGTGGATTGAAGTAGAGTGCCATGGCTTGTTGCGGTGGTGTGTCTTCTAAGTAAGACATGAGAATTCGTGGACACTTTCCAGAGGCATACAGGGTGGTGTCGTCTGCATAAAGAAGGCATTGGGAACGCAATGGCAGAGTGGGGACAAGTCGAGTGTAGATGCTGAAGAGGGTAGGGCCTAGGACGGAACCCTGGGGAACGCCCCTAGTGCAGGTTCTACAGTCACTTGTGGTTCCGTTCACTTCTACGCGTTGCTGTCGGTGAGACAGATACGACTTGAACCACTCAAGAGCATTTCCACGGATCTTCAGATTGTGAAGGTCATCTATTAGCGTTTGGTGGTGGACGCGGTCAAAGGCTTTGCTCATATCGAGCAGTACGGCCGTATAGTCTCCGGTATCCATGCTTCTCTGCCAGTTATTGATGGCAAGTGTTAAAAGGTCCTCATTACTGTGGTTCCGCCTGTATGCAAACTGTTCATTTGGAATTGCTCCGGGTGTGATGTCCAGATGGTCGTGAAGCTGCTGGAGCACTAGTGATTCCAAGAATTTGGAGATAATGGGCAGTAGCGAGACTGGGCGATAGTTGGAACTGTCGTAGGGGTCACCTTTCTTAAACACTGGACACACAGACGCTAGTTTGTAGGCTGACGGTACCTTTCCGCTAGACAATGACTGGTTGAAGATGGAAGTTAAGGAATTGGCCAGCTCCGCGGCATGGTGTTTCAAGATGTAAGCTGGTATGCCGTCTGATCCAGATGCTTTCGCGGTATTCAATCGTTCGAGAATCTTCGTTACTGCTGCTGTTGTAACGGGTTGGAACTCGAGAAGGCAGTTGTCTAAACGGTCGTCCGCCGGAGTGTCTGGGGTCGTAAGAGCAGCGCGGTGTTCATCATGGACGATATTGCCTAGGGTATCTGACAAAGATGAGAGGGAGGCTTTCGGTGTGGGATGGGATTTTCTCCTTCCAGTTAGTTGATTCAGCACTGCCCATTGGAGTCTAGGATTTCCTGTAGCGGCACTGAACTTATCTTTGTAGTACACACTTTTCAGTTTGCGGTTTAGTAAAGTTCCTTGACGACGTATTGCAAGATACTGCTGTCGGAGGCGGTCATCCATGGGGTGCTTTATTAAGGCGCGGTGGGCTGAGCTTCGTCGATGAAACATCTGTTTCAGCTCTGGGGTGACCCAGGGCTGGGGGCGGGGTTTGGAGTAAGCTGCGCGCTTCTGGGTAACGAATGGTGCAAGATCATCTAGTACCGTCATGACGCTTTGTTGCCAGTGGCTTGCCGCTGCATTTAGAGTACAACCGCCGGATACATCTGAGGGGTCAAGGATGTGTTTGAGAGCTGCAGACGTTACCCTACGGTCAAGGTGAGGCAGGCTAGGTTGGCGTCTTCGAGAGAATTGCTCGTGTGGCTGTTCAAAGTTGGCTCTACTAACACGGACAGAGAGGCCAATAAGATGGTGGTCGGACAGGCCATCGACGCTGTGAACAAATGTACTATGAAGAGATATGGGAGAGGAAGACGGAGCAGCCGTTGTCATTGTTGTCGGTATGAGTGCAAGGTCTAGGCATGACTGACTAGGAACTCTGGTGGGCTGTAGTATGACGTTTTGTAAGCTGTCGTCAGCGCAGAGGCCTTGTACATAGCGGGCGTTTGGGTGAGGTGGGACAGAGAGCATGTTGACATTGTAATCACCGAGGAGGAGGATGTCCGGACATGTTGCGGAGGCCATCTGCACGCTATTGTAGAGTTGCTCCCAGAAATCCACATGGCTGTCGGGAGCGCGGTATACGCAGCCGATGGATAGAAATGGATTCGTTCGGCTATGGGTGTGCAACCCAGCCAATATGGTCTCTAGCCTGTCGTTTACTTGAAGTTGCCTGGATTTCAGTTGTTCCTGCACAAACATGGCAACGCCGCCACCCTTTCTGCGATCAGCTCGGTCCCGGCGATAGAGAGTGTAGGCTGGTATAGCAAGATCGCAATTCATCACAGTAGAGTCCAAGCATGTTTCTCTGATTGCTAGCACATCAATTCTGTACTTGTACATTATGCAATGGATTTCATGAGTTTTATTTCTTAGGCTACAGATGTTGATGTGGGCGATGGTTAAGCTCTTGATGGGTGAAGACGGACAATCAGGCACTGTTTGACTGGATGGATAGTTACAAGGATTTCTTAAAATGTTAGGTGCTGGGTCAGCGACGACATCTGTTGCTCGGAGATGAGGTGAAGTAGCTGAGAGGGAGTGTTGCTGGTGATTACTTGGACACCCTGATGAAACCTATTGTGTTGCTAGCTCATCGATTTCAGTTGCACTGTATGGGGTGCCATCTGGGTTCAAAATCTCAACATACGGTAGCGAGCAACGGATCTCCTTTTGGCGGAGTTCCTTATACCTAGGCAGGGCCTGTCGTCTAGCAATCTGCTGTTGCTTGGTCAGGTCGTTGTTCACGTACACATCTTGATCATTCAGTTTCAAATCCAGACGTTTACGGTACACTGACAGCTTGGCCTCGTGGCTTTTCATGCGTAGCCTCACTGTACTGGCCTTGTCCTGTACGGCTTTGCTGGCGGAACCAATGCGCTCTGCAGAGAGTATTTGGTCAGCACTAATCTGGAGGAGCTGCTCACATCTGGATGACAGTGCTACGCTGTCCTCATTGTCCGCTTCGGGGATGCCCCTGAGAATAAGGTTTTCCGACCTCTTCACCCTCTCTACCTCCTCTGCTATGACCTCGGCAAGCTGCGTTGCACTGTGGCTCCCAGCTGTCTGCCACGCGTTTCCACGTGGTGCATTGCTTTGCACCGCACTCCTGGTACGGTACGCAGGGTCATCATCTCGAGTACGGAAAGTCCTCTCCATCTCCTCCACTCTCACTTCAAACTTCGTCAGCTTCTCTCTCAAAGAGCGATTTTCCGCCATTACATTTTCTAGCTTCAGGGAGATTTCTTGAAAGATGCTGTTTACTCTCATACTCATATCCTTCTGCTCCCGCAATATCTCGTTTAACGTGCTGCGCATTGACGCAGTGTCGTCCTGTTCCGCCTGGCTCCCGTTATAACAGGTGTTGTCAATTTGCTGTCGCAGGCCGTCAGGAGGCGAGCGATCCGCCGCGGGAGACTTTCTGCTCAACCTCTCAGGAGTTTGGCGAAGGGAAGACGACTTCACACCTGTAACTGCTACTGGCAGCCTGCTCGGCTGACTGGCTGGCATACTGGGGGAGAACAAGGGGGGACTTTGACCAGAGCTCAAAAACCTGCAACCAGTTCCTACGGCACCTGAAGTATTATCTTGTCTTCATACACATACATTTTTTTTTTTTTTTTTTACTATGTTCACACTCCCAGGTCGAAAATAATAAAGAAAGACAATGATTCTGAGACTAGGACGAACGTGACAACTATTGAGCAGGGGCTGCACCGAGACGCAGCAGTGATGGTGGGGCATTGATGGCTCTGCCGACCTGAGGTCTCGGCATCACGGCCAAAAACACGCACCAAAAACAAAAGATAGAGCTGTACGAGTCAGCAAAATGAAAAGAAAGGAAGGGTTGACATCAGCGAGTGTGCGGGAGAAACTGTGAGACTATTAACAAATTACAAGGGCTGTTACTGAGAGGAGCATCATCATGGCTGATCATGGCGAGTCGGTTGTCTGAGCCAGTTGTGGTGCATAGATAGGGATAGAGGAGAACGACGAGAGCATCATAGTGAGTCGACTGCCCAGAGCCAGTTTGTGCTTCGCAGATGGCGATAAACATTAGTTTTGAATGCTTGCATTCCCTTGCTGTGGGGAGGCTGGGACAGAAGAGCGGCGGGGAGGGAGTTCCAGTCACTAATACTGCAGTGTGGGAACGAGCGCTTTAATGC